TTACATGGAGGTAACTTTAGCTGTCGTGCACGCGTCATGTACCTTCGTTCATTTCGGTACGTGGTTTCCATTCCAGAACCTGTTTAAGTTTAAACATTTATTATATTTAAACTATGTATAAGTTCAACATAAAACGACGAGCACATAGTTGTAAATTCATTCATTCTTTTATAGTGCGTTACTAAAATGTACGATTTAGTCTCACGAAAGTCAACATTAAATTATGCACGGCATTTGAAGTACTACAACGGCTTTAATTTACATAATACTGGTATTAATTGTACGCTTAGACTTGCTTGAATGTTTAGTGTACATTACATGGAATAAACCATTCAGATTATTTGAAAGTTATGAATAATAATAATATATAAAAATAGCTGCGCAAGGAAACTATAATCCGGCTAAAGCTTTTAAAATGACATGAGATAAACGACGCCAGGCCTAAACAGTCAGCTATAAATACATTAAAAAGTCAAGTAACTACAGCGAAGACGAATGATCAATGATTTTTAAATGGGCTTTGAAATAATTCTGTGCACATCTGCAACCCCTCGGTACACTGCGACCGACAAAAGTGTTATTCATGCGCTGAATGTAAAGGCGGAGAGTTCGTGACTTGTGACAACTATACCGTACGACTCAATTCTACTAAGTCACAGGCTCGCGTGTGCAGCCCATAGCAATTTGAATAGTTTATTCATGTGATTATAATTGATTTCTTCTTATATGAATGAACTCAGCCTCGCGGAAGAAGTGACCTCTTTTTATCTTTGTTCTATGCTTCATTCATAAGCTTCCATAATTCATTCAGTGAGCAGACAAACATAATAAGTTTATCGAGTGTGTGACCCTGCATAAGAACTGCTGTGAATTGATTCTTCAAGTTCAAACATCCTGTACATTTTGCATAGAAACAACATTTATTTTCTGTTTGTTCTCCCTTTATGAGTTTTCATGAAATTCATGTATTATGTCAATTTATATTATTCGCATAACACGAAGGAAGTCCAAGTATAAGTTCTTGGAAGCTCACACAAGTGACGCGTGCGCAAACAAATGCGTTTCCGGTGACAGACGGAGAGTACTCGTTCATGGAGAAAGTTGTCAAGCCTTCTTTCTTAACAATGCTCTAGCATTTTGCCATTACATCACGCCTCCCGCTTTTTTGATGATTAGTCGATGTAGGAAGAGATTATGAAACTAATACTAGTGCTCTTCAGATAAAACCGACGTGATTGATGTTCGCCACATCACTAATGTTCGATGATGTCGTTGTTTTTGTGCAAAGTCAATCGTTCATCCTAAAATAATGATTTTCTTCCTGCGTAAGACATTAGCTATTAAGTGATTGACTGGAGTAGTAGGTATTTTCATGGAAAATACATTAAACTTTAATATCTATTGATATCGTTTGCACATCTTTATGGTAAATTCCGATATTGAGTCAAGTTTCGACACAATGCAAAGGTTGCTTTGAAATTACGAACATGTATAACAATGGGCAATTTGACTGCACACAAAGAGCTTAGATGTTGTCTGATACGAAACATGAACAATAAGTAAAATGTGCACAAGTTAATGTTCCAACCCGATGCGTGTGAAATAGCTACCGTCAACGGACACGCCGCGGTTGTCAGCTAAATGTTCTTCACGTTGACAATGGACGCGGCTTATGAAATGCCGCACAATCTAATTCGCCTTTATTTTCTGAGGGAAACAAAGGTATTTATAATGCCCGGATCGTATTACTTACACGACTAGGGAACATTGCAGCTATGAGGAAATCCTTGAAGGTGGTATTAAGGGTAATTCAAACCTTTGTGTGATTGTGATTTTCGTGCTGGCTTCGATCAGTTTATTGCACTCTCGCGTGATGTATGTTGGAGGCTTGGAGGCTAATCAGCTCTGAGGTCGTAGGGTTTCCGTTGCAAATAATACCAGCTATACAACGCCACATCTGTTACATCAACCGTGCAATTGTGGGAACTGTTGCATACGTTTTTAATTATCATCGTATTGTTAGGCTATGGTTTCTTTCTAGGTAATAAGAGCACATACGCAACCTATATGTATGCACTTTACGATAATTAAGGACATAAGCAGCTATTGTTTAACATGCATCGTATTACCACAGTCACTATCTTCCTATAACTTTTCATTAAACACGTAATATTGATTATACAACGTTGTTCTTATGACAAAGAAAAACACTTCCCATGGATGTGAATTGTGTTATGTTTCTGTTATAAATTGTCATCTGCTACCGATGATAGTTCATGATGGTCATGCTAATGTGGACCGTTATGACAATGCCAATGAAATTCTTGTTCATCTTACAATAATTTGATCTACTTTCTCACTATGTAAAGGGCTCGAAAGCCAACCTCGAGAGGCTCGAGAGATGTCGACATGTTGCGCCTACGCACTTCAGAAATTATCACTTGGTGTGTTCAATGTTCAACTGATTGTGTCATAAATTAATCCCAATTTATTTCCACCACTGCTTTTCAACGAACAAATGAGAGCTTTATTTATTTGACGTATAATCATTTGTCCTAAGCTGGACAATAGTACGTGGTTTGTCGTGGTGAATTAATTCAATGCGGCTTACCCAATTAAATATAGGTACTTCGAAACAACTTTAAACAATAATAATCAATAACCAATTTTATTCTCATAAGAATATATTAATTTTATTATTCAAAACGGTTTGTAATCGTATTCTGCTCACGATGTAACGCATGAAATTCGACACAAGCGGTGTTCATGCGCAGGCGTGTCGTTCACATGCCTACGTAATCGTCTGTCAAAACGTTCACATTTTTACCGGCCAGCATTATATTATACGAAGATTAACTCCTACGCGACAATCTGCTCGACGGGAAGCTTATATTGCCCTCAATGCAGGCGTGATGGAGATATAAAGGCGAATCTGATGCGTGGCATTAGTTCTTGAAGGCGTTCCTTAGAAATTGACGTGAATAACATACAAATATGATTAATGAAAATGTAAATATGCTGTCGTCGTGATGAAAGAACTGTTTTTACTGCGCGCCTTTCTTACTAATGAGTGATGCCACAAACTTTTATTAGGCATCTCTTTTGTATGTCTCCTAAGGACCTATAGGCTGTTTCAACTGCCGCTGTTTTATTTTCGTAGTGGTATAAGACTTCCCAGTTATTCGCAGATATTAAAATAATTGACAGAAAGAAGACAACTGACAGGAGTACCTTTGTTTACAACTTCGGAAAATCAGGCGCAATGTTATGTTATTTTTTTCTGTACCATTGTTGTTGTTAAAGTTAAATAAAATTATGGTCTTGCTCAACCAGTTTGTTGCGTACTAACGAGAATCTTACTATTTCCAGACAACTTAATGCTATTTTAGAACTGGCAACGCATTAAAAATCAGTAAGCTCTTTGAGAATATGGGCGGCGTGAATATTATAGATTTTGCTAGAAGAAGAAAATTGCATATTATTATGATTCCCACGTTCCTAGTCTAGTCTACGGTAATGTTAAGTTTTTATGTAGTTGTATGTATATAGTTTACGTGTACGCGGGGTGATATAATTACGTGTATAAAGTAGGTCTATGTGTGCAAACGTATAATTTATAATTGTGCCCGCTTGGCGTAGCTTCAAAAGGGCGACGACCTTTACAGCCGGTCGACAACTGACCTTTAGGTCTACTAAGGGCAGGAAACCTAGATGCTAGGAATTCTCATATTTTTTCAACTTGCAATTTGAGGTCAATTTTTTCTCAAGATTTTTGCGAAGTTTCTGAACAATAATGTATGGAAATTGCGTAATTGTTGTTCACCATCACTAAAGGGAAAGAGGGTTTTATTAATCCTCTGAGAATACATGAAATAGTTGTTCATTTCATAGTATTTATTTCTACATTAATGTTTGAAAAATTTTGTAATTTATTTCCAAAATATAAATGTTAATTCTTCATCCATCTGCTGCAAATATCGAGGTTGAACTGTTACAAAGCAGCATCTGTTCAATTTGACCTGACATTTAATTTTTATTAAGTAATGTTAGTATTTAGCAAATTAACATCACGTAACACGATGTCAGGTGTTGCGTTTTATTGGTTCATAAAATTATATTATCATACTTCTTCATTATGACAACAAAACAGGCCACACGCTAGATGCTCTAGTTTGATTGCACTTACATAGATCTCAGGAGGCTTTGTTTTGTCATTCTGTGCCAGTGGTAAATTCATTTCAAGAACCTGAATCTACTGAAGTAAGTAGTTATTTAAGTTACCAAATTATTGTGTTAGTGCTTCAAAAGTTTCATTATACACTGAAATCAGTAAATGATGAGCATCAGCGTATCGTACCACCTCAACTGTAATCTAACCCGTATCCAAACCACAATAACAATTCGCTAATGTTAGCCACATTTCAATAAACTCCCTTCAACCTGAATGGAGCTAGTAAACATGCTCCAACCTCAAGGTTAACCACTTTGATCAATACTTAATCTATTCCTCAAATCTTAATGACATATTTATAAAATGAATTGAGAACAACGCGCACCTCCGTGAGAAACAATTAATGTCAAATTCACTCGTTACTTTGCAACTTATTTACATAACAAGTTATAAACATTGTTATGAAGATAAATAGAATAATTACTCGTGTTTTAGTTCCCAAATTAGGCAACATTGTGATCTCCGAGATAAAGATTTGATGATCATGTTAAGGAGGTGATACAGAAATGGAATCAGGACACGGTTTTGTAAATACAATTATTTAACATTAGACTGAATTGTTGGCTTATAATTTCTAATTATAAGTTTGAAATCACCAACGCGCATTGAGTAAGAGTGGTGATTAATGCTCAAATCTTCTCCGTGTGAGAAGAGGCATTTGCTCTTTTATAGGCTGTTGATGGACTGAATTAAGTGAATATGTTGCATATATTAATAATATTATTATGTTGACTTGTATATGCTTTTAGGTACATCTAGAAATCCTACTATGATGTTGAAATTCCAAAACCTCAATGCCCAATGCACTAAACCAAAAAGTAAGTCAAGGTGCAACTTGGCTTCGTTCAGCTAAGTTCAAATGTAAATAGCACAAACAATAGACAATAATGTATTTGCAACTCTAGGAGTTAGATGCAGTGTGCCATCGGTAGCTATCCGTTTATCTATCTCTCGTAGTGTCGGTATGTTTATAAATAAACAACGGGCAACATGTTGCGTCGGTCGTGAGGTTCTGTTTATTTCAAGTTCATTGTTGTGCGCCATCTCGCGTGAAGGCGCGCCGCCCTCCCACGCAACCGTACCCCTTCCACACAAATACTGAAATTATTTTAACACATACTAAAAAGCTTCCTTTCATTGGTTAGGGAGCTGTTAATATGCCTCTGTACATTGTCTACAAACGACTTCTGTTCAATGTTTACATGTAGAATACGAAACGAATGCAGGGAGTGTAAACTGGAAAGTGGATTCCGTTGTTAAGTTGAATCGTTATGATTCTAGCACTGCGCTGTCTCTTGCAGTTTACATGATAATACACTAAACTATAATAATACTGTTTTATAGATCGTATAAAAACTTTTTCAACGCCACACTGTGTTTTAGTCACATATTGGTTTTTGTTTAGCCTTGGGTGTTCTTATGATGTTCAGGTTTGGTTGTACGTAGTAGGGGTCTGTTGCTCGGTCGTATATTTTAATGTTATCATAAGGCAACTTGTACCGAGACGAGTCTTTCTCGTTTGGTTGACGAGTCGCGAACTGCGGTCGCTTTTAGCTTGAATCATTGCCTTTGGCCGGCGCTAACTAGGTGCCACTGGCATTACCACACTGACTGGTAATCAGGGCTATCTTGGATCAAAGATATGATCGCCGGATACGCCTACCTACGTGAAAGGTACACCGACACTATTATGAAGTGTATGTCGCATTGATGTGGGCAAATGTTTGACTTGCTTTAAAATGTAAAGTCACGCAATACGCAACACAGAAGTGGGACTTGATAATAATCTTTATAGTTTTAATGACATGTTACGTTTCAAGACATCGTTAATTTAAACTGGTAGATAATGTAACTGTTGAGCTTAATTTTTTTAAGATGGAAGGTATACATATTTTCTGTTTGGTTATGCTAATTATTAAGTTATTTGTAGTTTAATATTTATTTTATTTTCATTATTGCAGGGTTTTTCCTTCCTAGCTCGTAACCATATCATGGAGAAGGCGAAGCGTGCGTGACTTAGACGGAGATAGTGATTTTGATAGCCGCCGGCTATTTTCGAAGCACGACGGGCTTTTAAAGGCTATTCTAGGTTTACGCTCATTAACTATAAGTATTCTGTGGCGGGTTTGAGGAATTTATGAAAGAAATATAAAAGATAAGGTACATAGGTGTTAGCTTTGGAGTTGTTGGGCTTGAGTCGAGTATGTTTGAGCACCAGAAGATTATTCGATTTCCCTTTAAGGATCCATGAACTCATACAAGACTTGTATCAGTTTTCTAACTAATTAGGTAGGCAATCTATTTATGAATATTTAGTATCTAGTAATAGTAGTTAGATACATATGATAGTCATCCTTTTTTATTGAAACCTTCCGTAGAATGTAGTGAATCTTTTTTTCAATTTTCGAATTGTTCTCGTCTATTATATAATTGTCGTACTTTGTAACTAATGAAAGATTTTAAATTGAAAGTCACTGACCCCAACACACATACAAACACACTTGCACTCCTTCGTCTGATGACGTGATGATAACAAGTGAAATTGATGTTAATTATCAAGAACATTGTGCACCTTTTATAAGACAGGTGTTTCATAAAACGGTTGAAGGTTTTTAATTTCATTTTCCACGTATTTTGGAACTGAATGTTTGGGGTTTTAACTTTATGGGGATTTTCCTACACCTTTATGTTATAAAATATATTTCTCTTAGGTAATTTCTATCAGTTCCTGTGTTGTCTCCTTTATATTAGCAGCACTCCAGGACATAGAAAAAAATATTTTATACATGTATTAAATTAGCAATATGTAGAGTTGGTGGCCAGTGGAATTTTAAGCAGCTTAATAACAATACAATAATAATATCCATACAACTAATCAATCAACCTAAACAGCAAACCAGTTCCATCAGCACGCAAGAAACTAGTCAGCAAGTAAGAAACAGAGACATGAAATCAATAATTAATCCATCCATCTTCAAATAGCATGATCATTTTATACATTTAAAATTCTCAATATCAATGGATCAATTAATTTAATTTTACACAATAGATAATAGTGCTATTAAAATGTTTGTTTCGATGGGTGTAAATAAATGCGCTTTCTACACAATTTAATATTCTCACGTATTCAATACGGCTAGTCAACTTGCCTCAAGCGCTAGCACGAGTAGGTGTGCTTTGCGCGATAGATTATCACAAAAATTCACTACAACGCCGTGGGTGGGTGGCTTACAGTACCGACGTAACTTTTTATATGCTAGTAGGTGTATTAGTATAAATGCTGCATTAGCGGGTTATTTATAATTGCGTAGAAATTGTGCAAGTCCATAGCAGGAAACGTCGTTTATGAAATTCGTGTCCTATTTACAATCTCATTTCTAATAATAAGTTAACAGCGTAGATTGAAAATAAGTAGAAAAACTCTATTGTATGCGATATTAAACACACCAATAGTCGATAGAGTACATATTACCTTCCTAGATCGATGTAGACGGACCGTTCTTAATATTTCAGTTGAGAGTTATGTAGTAGATATGTTGATAGTTACCGTTTACTAGCTCGCGTGCTTCACGAGACAAATAGACGCAAAACGATTGATATTACGAGCATAATCTACTCCGTACAGCATTTGCAACTGCATGACTCACGCCCAACTGTTATAGCAATAACCTAAAGAGAGTAAAATTTATTTGTTTCACAGTTTCACTGCCTCACCCGTCGAACCGTTTGTTGCGTGAATCAACTTTAGATTGATACTATCGGTACTATGAAACTCGTTTTTGCTCAACTTTTTCGAATCTTTCATTCATAAATGATATCAAATTTTCCAAATAAATGCTCTAACTTAGGAGATATTATGAAGTTAATATCCATGTCCCTTTTGATTACTGTTTTCTGAATCGTCAGTGCTCATGAGTCACTGTTTAATAGATTAAATGGAACGCATTAATCCATGTGGACGAAGCGCACCACCAGCTTTTATTAGCTGAACAACTACTTCAATTACTGCCTTTGTCCTGTTTAAAAATTGACATCGGGTTTTCTTTTATTTCGAGATATTTTTAGACTGTAGACAATAGTGACGTTTGTTAGAGTTATTTTTGGACGTTGAATCTAAATTGGTTGAACAAGAAAGTTAAAGCACATTGTAGTTTGTATGACTGGTGTACGCTTGCTCTGACATGTATTATTGTTATATTCATTTACTGTGCGCGTTGTCAACTTATTCATATATTAATCAACGTTGAAGCTCTGACAGGTGACTAAGTAAAAGCTTCTGTTGTGTTCACAAGTAATGAATTTGCTGCTGTATCTGAACAAATAGTTTTTAAACGCAGTAACATCATTACCTTATGTGGCTTCGAAAGGTATAGACAGTGGACACCTTATATTTGTACTGCTCGAGCCGTTTGTTTACCCCGTAAGGAAGAGCAGTGTGAACGAGGCACAAGCTCCATTGAAATCCGTTTACTCAGATTGTTTTAAAACATCGCCTTTGTTTTACTGTTACTTTATGCTTATACTGGCTTATGTGACTAATAACATGTGGGCACGCCATTATAAAGTAGTGATTAAGATCGCGTTGAAGGGTTTATGGTAAATTATTGTATGGGACGTGGATCGGGCTCAGTATAATAGATCAGTCGTGCCGCGACTAAGATATTGGTCCGTCATCAGTCAGGTTGACTCGTTTTTCTACTTTGTCTGCTGCAATCGATGCTGTAATATATTGCATAAACTACTTAGCTGCCGACGTTGCTTCGTGATTATTTAAATTGTAAACTAACCTTTTTATAACTGAGACGATAACGAGGGAGCTTGTTAGGCTCGTCTTGTGTCGTAGGTGTATCTGATTTGATGGGTTCGCTATGAATAATGACTTAATTATAGTGATGATATCTATCTATTGACTTTTTATAATAAATGCCTAGATAGTATTTATAAAATAATACATTGAAAATATTGCATTTCTATTTAATAAGTCTTTCGTGAAACTGACCACAATAATCACTAGTGGTTAGCTCATTAGATATAATCATTAAAGTCGATTTATATTTATGCTGCGCTACGCCACAATTCACATCTCAGCGTGTTTATAATTCAGATCTTTCCAATTTTATCTGATTGATGAACGGCCCACTTTCCACATTATCTAGCGGTATCGTCGTACATATATGTTAATTAAAAATCTACGGTGAACGATACATACTGCATGGAAGTTGTATGTCTAGTATGTAATTTACTCGCCATATAACAAAAGACTTCGGTCACGTAATCTAATAGTATTTGTGGCATGTTATATACAATTAAATAAGTTGATATAGGTACCTTTCACTTCAAATTATGGTACCATAACGTAACGTAAGTGTGTTCTTATTGAAATATTATGTTTATTACTTTTTATGCGGTTTATAATTGTTTTTAAGTTGTTATGAGTGATGGTGAATTGCATAGGATGTGTATGAGTAGAAAAGCTTGCAGATATTGTATGAAAATGCCAATTTGGTTTAAATTACACAATACAATGTAACTACAATGTAAATGTATCCGATACAATGTAATGGAAGTAATACTTTTCTTAGTCAGAACGGAGTAAGGGAGTAAGGTAATAAAACCGTTTAAAAATTAGATAATTCATTTAAATGAATTAAATAAGGCGAACAGATTATTCATTCTTAACTGCTTTTTTTTTGTAATTAGGGATAACAGTAGGGATCTGAGTAGAATCACTTCTATGTAGCAGTAGCAGCTAATACGATTTCTTTGTGTTCTTGTGAACATAGATTTGTACTTACTTCTCAAGAAGTCAGTAGGTACGTTGTCCAGATGATATCGTTTATGTCATCATAATCTTCGCCACATGTTATCCAACGGGACGGTTGGCTGGTTGGTATTGGTTTACTGGTTACTGCTTACTTGGTACCACATGTGAGCGACGGTTATTGCTAGTGCCAATTTAACGAGCCACGTCTAGCCAGTCACAAAAAGATTAATATTGTCTTTATTTCTTTTATATGGTCAGTTTAGTTAAAACTCAATAAGCTTGCAACAACAAAGTTATGTGTGTAACTTCAGTTGTAAATGAAATTGGCAAATTACGTAGGTATTCATTTTCCATGTATGTTAATTTTACCGAGAACTTTACAAGTCTTTAGTTTTAAGCGACAATTCTTTTCAATTTTCTTGGAGCGTTCTAGTTGCCCACCAGGGAAACCCAATGGTGGGCTAGGACCTAAATAAAGTATGATAGTTGTTCAAACAAAGATTACAAATTTCAACTTTCCAATGTTTTATGTAATTGTGTGTTTGTCATCAGATGGGGCGACAAGCGCGGTGGCGGGTGCGGCTGTGGGGGTGCCCTTATCTTGGGAGCCATTCTACTGCGTCTTGCAGCAGGATCGACGCATCCTCACCGCATATACCAGTGAAGAGCTTGCTGTAAGTATCTTTGATATTCTCTGTATCCGGTACCTTAGTATAGGTGGTCATCGGGTCATCTCCAAAGTTTAGATTTTCAGTTTTATTCGTTTATATTAAAGTTGGAAATCTATTAGAGATATTAAAGTAAAGCGACATGTTGAAGTCTATTTATCCATTTTTTAACTGAAATGAAAATTTCATAGAATAATTCTCGTTTAGGGTTATTGCAAATACGCGGCCCACTCATACTTCATAGGTGTGCAATTTTTCAACTATACTAGACATGATTTATTTCAAATTTAGAGATTTTTTAAAAGAAGTGTTATTAGTTCACCTCTATCTACCTATTACAAACTATTTTGCACAGATTAACGTTACCTCCTTTCTTATACTAGTAGTTTATTCGTAGTTCAGATGGATCGGTCACTGATTTGAAATTTACTTAGAATTTAATCTGTTTTGAGTGGAAAGAGAGGAAGCCATCTAGCTATCTTTGTCATTTTTGGCATGACGTCACTGACATGTCTTTTGTTTTTTATTCAAGTCTTGGTTGAGGTACATTTTCATCGGAGTAGAACGAGATAAAGCTATATAGATGTCTTTATCATTTTTGGCATGACGTCACTGACTTGTCATTTATTTTTTATTCAGTACTTCAGGTGGAAATGCATTTTCGTAGGATTAGAAGGAGGGGAAGCTATATAGCTGCCCTTGTCATTTTTGGCGTGACGTCACTGACGCGTCATTTGTTTATTCTTTTGTATAGTGAGTACAGCTTTTCTGGCAGAATAGCTATATTTGCATTGAATTGTACGCTGTTTCATAAGTGTGTGGGTTCAATGATGTCTGTATTTTCTGCGTGACGTCAGTCTGCATTTTTTCGTTAGATACACCTTCTATATACAAGGATCGTGTAGTAGTTACTCCGACATCTTCATTGGTGGATGATTCCCTACTTTATAACAAGTAAATAATACTTGAAACAAAAAATCTAACAAAAAAAGGATGGATTTCAATGACCAACATTATTTCAGCCTACGCGCTCTAATTAACAAACGCATAACCTATGAGTCGAATGGAAATAATTTGTCGTTTCCAGGACATTCCAGTTTTTATCGATTCTAATGTTGATTTTATGTAGACAAATCGAGTAGTTTAGCATTCCGTATGGGTCAGTAAATAATGGCAACACGAAGGTTTTATTTATTGCCGTATAATCGTTGAAAACCGGATGCGGTGATGTTACTAATTTTGAGTGCAATAGAGCGTGACTATTGTCGAACGCGTTTAGGTTTTGTAGGTATATTTAGCACATAAAATATATACCTATGTTTTGCTAGATTGCTAATACGATTACAACCAATAAATCTTAGTTATAAAAATATACTGTTACTTTAATAGTTACATATGTATTTACACAAGAAAAGTTACATTTTCTTTAAGATTGTTTTATAGTCTTAAACACTTTTTTTTGAGGGGAGATAATTAACCTATGGCTTCTCCCGCCTGGGTGAGGCGAGAGGGAGTGTCAGACTCATACTGACTAAAACCACCCCGTTCCTACTCCTGCACTTCGAGCCGGGGCCAGGCAACCCGTTAGTCCTCTGCGGCTTCGATAATCTCTAACATAGGTTAAATATATTTTGAAACAATTTACTTAATTTTTTAAGTGTGGGAGAGCCATGCTTCGTCACGAATGGGCCGTCTCGACCGGAGTGATACCACGGCCTCACAGAAAACCGACGTGAAGCAACGCTTGCGTTGTGTTTCGTCGTGTGAGTGAGGTTACCGGAGGCCCAATTACCCTCCCCTTCTCCAATCTCCCCAATCCCCAACGATCCTCAAACTCCTAATCCCCCAAAAGCCGGTAACGCACTTGTAACGAACGCCCCTGGTGTTCCAGGTGTCCATGGGCGACGCCGATTGCTCACCATCAGGTGATCCGTTTGCTCGTTTACCGGCTTATGCCATAAAAAAAAACTTCAACATATTTGAAACAAAAATTTCTAATGTACCTACTATGTATTGAAGCTTGTAAGTAAAAGATTTTGAAACTTGCGACGTTTACAGTCTACATATTGTACACAAAAATCTCATAATAATCTAGTGACGTAGTCTTCACTAAAAAGAGTAAATCGTGTAACACGTAGTTAGTAGTTATGGTCACTTTCTCACATATATTTTCGAAATTGTGATTTATCTGTCGGTTCGTTTGTTCCGCTTTCCTAATCTTGTGGAAATTGCTTGTTCGGTACATCATAATTTAAGGCTTTTTAAAGAAATTGTGTTTTATTAGGTAATAGCAAGTCATTTATTTTGAAGACATTGACGGGGAACACTATTTAGTCTTGTGGACATATATTTAGATTTTTATTAAAAAAAACACACTGTCATGATCACATTAGTGATAATTTAAATTATGTATGTAAGGGCTGATGATAATTTTAATTTTTTTAACGCCTGATATCTTTGTCAGATTAATAATTTTGAATTTTGCCAGGTTTTCCATACAAAAACAGGCAAATGACAATTTTATTCGATGTATAAAAATTATCTGTTAATTTTTGAATTATAGTAAGTTAAGTACTTAGTCTTAAGTCTTAGTCGACTAACCGTAGAGCATTCGCCAGATGTGAACGCACCCCTATATTATAATCTTCGATAATTTAGTTCAGTCAATACAATATTGTTCTATTCTATGTCTGTTTATTCCCTTTTAACAAAGCCCAAATATAAAACAAATAGTAATATGCAGTACAGATGCAGTTACTTAATTTAGTAACTTTTGAAATAGCTCAATTTGGCTGTTGATCTCATTGAGGTTGCGTGTGCGCAGCTCGCGTGCGCTAGAGTGCATCATCGGGCAGCTAGGGAACATTCCTGATCATTATGCTTACACAGGGCTGGCTGTAGGCTCATTTTTTGTGTCTTAAATTCGATATTTATACGAATGTAAACAAAATGTAAGTTTGTAGGATGAAATAGTCTGTTGCTGACTTATTGCGAATTAACGACAATGTAAGTATAACTCTTCAACATTATTAACATTTAAAACTTGCATTTGATATTTCTTCAATCTCTAAAGAATAAAAATATTAAATATAACATATGATCCGTTAAAGCACAGATTTGTTAAATTAGAGGTCTGTATTTAAGAAACCTTTTTTAAAATGGGGCATCCCTAATTATATAAGTGAAAGTTGATATTAGTGGAGCCGTACGTACTCATCGATATTGATATTTCCACAATGAGTTGGGAAGTATCGATACAATCATTATTTAATAACAGTATGCACAGGCATTTTAGTTTTGATTACACTTATTATTATAACTATGGGACCAACGGATGACGTTACGTCACTGTGGGAAATTAGATTAATAGTGTTGTAACACAGAATGTGATTTGTACGCATTACGCATTTGAAACGTACGAGAACACATGAACCGTTTTAATGATGATTTACAATGAGGTAGATTTACTCATTTACATTTTATTTTAATTGAAGGCCTCCCACTGAATTGTAGTGGTTTTGCGGCATTAACGTACTAGTAAATGGATGGAGTAACAGTTGTATTATATTATTTTTTTCAGTTAATGTATTGTTTTCTGCAAAAAATCTGTGGGAAGATCGCAAAAGATTTAGCTATTTTAAAGGAAAAATAGTATTTCTTCAATTTAATATTTCTGTAATAAATGATATTTGTTCAAATAAGGCCATAATATTTTTGTCGTGCGTCGCCTGCGCATTGAGTACAAACAGACAAATGCGAGGCGTGGGCGCGCGCGCGGCCGGCACTCTGCATAAATCAAAATTATGCGTTGCACGCCTAAGAGCGGCTTTTTGCCGCGCAGGCGCAGGATAAGACGAATGAACTCTGCAGTAAAAGCTTTGTTTGAACCGCAGTTTTATGGGCTATTTGATACTTGTTAGACACTTTGTGGTGAATTGAAATATAGATGTTGCTTCGCTGAGGTCTAGGTGGCCTTGTTTAATGTTTGTGTGCATGATAAATGTGACACGGGACAACATGGAGTCATTTTAAATGAAAGGAAAGATAAAATAATGAGATGAATCAAATAGTCCGTAGTAAATTAAACACAATGTCATACATCGCTGCTGAGGTGAGAACTCTTGACCAAATTATTTGCTGGGGCCAAAAAAACAACAGAAAGACGCAAATCATTCTGCTACCGTATCTTTAACCATTTAGTTTCATATAATTATCGTTACTGTATTTGCCCCGTTGAACCTTAACGTTATTCAAAATCTCACGAGCACCAACACGCGAATCATGACTCATAATGAGTTTCTTGTCCCAAAAATTTACATTCCTCAACAAACTACGGTTGGGTCTCATGGACGAGGTTATTTTAGGCTCCAATATGTTTGATGAACATGTTCTATATTGAGCATAGTTTAATACATCTTTCGTAGTCATCTGTTTTTGGCATTTTATCGTTATCAAACGACACACACTTACCAATATGAAAGAAATATTGAAGTATAGGAGCTTCTGTTAAAAGTAAACCTATGAAGTTGATGGATGGATGCATCGTCCGGCATTCCTGTATCTCTTGACTGGCTGTAAGTGGTCGTCATCAACAATCGTGTACCCTTCCTCTAGATCAGCGGGCAGTCAAATACGTCCTACACGAAGTTTTTAATCAAATACAGGATGTCTTCAAACAATGAGGACGGAAACATACACTGACTGGGTTCCGCTTCTCACGAAGACATCACTTTCTAGCTGAATCATATCATGTAGTACTTCAGATGTGTTGTGTCATCTAGTAGAACATTTGTCTTACTTGATTAAGTAATTGACGTCACACTTGGGTGAGCAAAAGGTTAATGAAAAGAATAAGATGCGTAGGTACTGTAAATCGAATGGATTTGCTTAGTAATTGTTTTAAAAATGAAGATATAAGGTTTTAGAGGTTCCTTTCCATTTTGCATTTGAAGTTCGTATTGGTGTACAATACAGATAGGGTTTTATAATCGATGATTGTTCATATA